AATTTTATTGGATTGGTTTGTTAACCACATTTGGATTATTAAAGGATTGGAATTGAATGGTTTAATTAAGTGGAATGGATTTATTAATTATTCCACAAGGTTGTTATTTATTTATTACTCGAGCATGACTTGTTAGTATGTTGAGTAAAAGTGGATTAAGCCGAAATGGCTAGGTGGGTTGACTATGTTCAACAATTTGGATAATTTGGAAGTTTAATGGAATTAAAGGTCAATTTGTGATGTGATCACCATTGTCCTAAATAAGATTAAAAGTAAATTGATGTATGATTTTTATGTATGGTCTATTTGATTGAGTCGGCTATTAATTAAAATTGTAATCACGTAAAGTGAAACATGGATGAGCAATAAAACTCTGGAAAGCGTGCACTTCTGGAGTATTGACAATTATGGGTTGGGGTACACGGTGGTAGCCCATGGCTTTCCGAGGCTTGTTTGATCAACATGTCCTATTTTCTTTTGGTATTTACATTTTATTTTACAATGAAAGTTAGATGGGATCCTAGACTAACTTTGTGAGAATGGAGTCGCGCCCATTCTTGCATCGCGCTAAACTTTTATTTTAAATGGTCATTTGGGACCAAAATGATTTTATGGATTGGACAACCTCGTATATTGCTTACTCCAAATTAAATTAATTAAATTAAATTAATTAAATTAAATATAAAGATTCAAGTGTTTGGAATTGATTAGCAAGTATGTTTAGTCGAGTGAATTGTTTAAGTGTGGAGTCTTGATTAATGAATTCGTGTTGTATGTTTATTTACTTTAATTAATTGAGCATGCTAGGTTTTGTGCGTTGTAGCTTGTATGTACTCAGCTTTGCTGATTGCGTGCTTTTGTGTGTTTTCTTTTAGTCATGGCCTTCGCCTTTCAATGACCCTGTGATGATCCGATTATTACACTTGTATTATTGGGGAGCAGTATTGCACAGTTTAGCTTGATGATATGAAGTTCGGGGATTTGACATACGCATTGTCAAGGGATTGGTGTGATTGAGAGTATTCGTTCTTTGTGTTGAACTGATTTATGTTTTACTATTTTAATTATGTTTTGGGATTTTTAATATTGGTTTGGTTTTAATAAGGGCCTTTATGGTTCCAATTTGTAAGCTTTGACTTATTGATTTTCTAAAATATATTATTTTAAGATTTAAGTTGGATTTCCGCTGCAATACTTTGATAAAGCCTTAACGTTTTAACACGTGGCGGTAGCATGTCAATGGTTATCCACTATTTTATTTAAAGTAAGTGGTTTGTAAAAGGGAGAATTATTGGGGTGTTACAATCTATCAACAACAACATCAATGGACTTCAACATTTCATCATCAAAATATAAACAATTATAAATGAAAGAAAAATTAAAATTGGTTACCATTTAACTCAAATTAAATCAAATAAGACTTCAGAATAACCATATTAACCCTTATTCAATCAAAAAATGAATCAAACCCAATTCCATAAATAAACTGCTTCATTAATCAATCCACAATAAGGTAATTAGTTCAGGAAAAGAAAGAGAGAGAGAGAGAAAAGGCCATAAACATTAAATAAATTTTTTTAAAAAAATTAAAAAAAAAAATTTGCATGACTTACCTGATTACAGTCGACAGACGACGGAGGAAGCTAAGATAGAAGGAGGAAACCGGCGAATTTTCGCCCTGCAAACGTTGATTTGTGACCCAATTTTAGGGTTTTTGCCCAAATTAACAAAAATTCAAAACAAAATTAACTAAATAATGAAACCCATCGAATTAACTTGATACAATTGTCGGAAAGCAAAGGAGAGACGGCCTGGAGGGGAATCCGGCGACGGTGGTCTGCGTGGGGGTTGAATTGAGACCCAAAGTTAGGGTTTTCGAACAAATTAACTAAACTAATAAAATCAAAAACAAAAAAAAATAAAACGCCATACCTGTGTCTTGCGTTGCTGGCCGGAGACAGGCGTCGGTGGGAGTAACGGCGGAGCAGCGACCGTCGTGGTGTTCTCCCTCTTCCCCCTTCTTCTCTGCTTCAAACTTCCCCTTCTTAAAATATGAAAGCCCGACTTTGTTTTATTTTAGGATTTAGCGAAACAAAAAAAAAGATTTAAAATGTTACGACCGTCTCTACGACCGTTTAGACCGGTCGTAATTATTTAAAAAAAAATTAATTCTAATAATTTTAACGACCGTTATAACGGCCGCAATTTATTCAAAAACGGTCGCAATTAATTAAAATTACGACAGGCTAATAAACGGTCGTAAATAATACTAATTGCGACCGTTTTTTGGCCCATCGCAAGAAAACACTCGTAATATCACCGAATTTTAGTAGTGAAACCTAAGTAGGTGAAATTGAACCATGAAAATCAAAGGTATGTTTAGTTTTGGTTGATTTCGTGTTGATTTTTGCTTTACTTACTTGATTTTGGCTCATTTTAGTTGATTTTGAGGGTTGTATTGTTGAAATGGTTTTATGGGTTAATTTTTGTGTATAATTTATTGTGGTTTTTGCTAATTTTTTGAGATTATGTGAAATTTGACCAATTTTGCTTTAGGTCTGTAGTACTCCGTAATTTTGAGTGTATTTTTTTTTTCCCTTTAATTTTCGTGGTTGTTTGGTTAAATCTTATTCTTGGGTATATGTTTGATTTTTGTTAATTTTCTGTTGTTTTTGTATTGATTTTTTTTTGTTCTTTATGTATTGTTGATTTTTATTTTTTTATTTTTATTTTTGTTGTTGTTGTTGTTGGTTTTGTTGTGGGTTGCGGTGGTTGGTGGTATGTGTTGTGGGTGGTGGTAGCTGTTTCACTATGGTGGCAGTAAGTGATTTAGGGTGGAAGGTGGTTTATGGTGGTGGTGGTTTTAGGTGGAAGGTGGTTTTGGGTTGGGGAATAGGTCGGGTTAAGGGTAGAGGGTAGGGGTTTTCATTTTTTTATTTTAAATTACCGAGGGCAAAATGCCATCGGTAATTGAAAAATATCGATGGCTTTTGACCATCGGAAAAAAATACCGATGGATTTTGCTATCGGTATTTAAAAAGGTACTGGTGGTTTGTAGCCATCGGTATTAAATTTACCGATGGCTTTTCAATCAGTAATTTTGATTTTTCCGATATATTGTCATCCGATGGCCAAATACCGATGGCAGCCATAGGTAAACAAGTTACTGATGGTTTTTTTTATAGTTTTACCAATGGATTTTTTCCATCGGAAAATGGCTCATTTCTAGTAGTGTAATTTGGTATCGATTTCTTCTTCTTTAATCTCAGTTATTTATTTTATTTCTTTCATCATGTCTTATTTAATTGCTTTGATTAGTTTAGTTTTAATTATGTCTGAGTAGTTTTCTTTTTAGGGTTTGTGGGGATCCATAAATAATATGAAGGGGTAATTTATTGTTGTTAACTATCAATGCTTGATTAATTTCCTATTGATTGATTTAATGCTCTGCAACTAGATTAGCGCTGGTCTTTTAAATATTAATTCGAGAGATGAGAATTGATATTTAGGGTTAGTTTCAATAAACATGTTAATTTATAAATGGTTAAGTTGAGATTCGAGAGTTGAGATTTAACACCGGTAGATTAATTCTGTGATTGTAATAAGTAGCGAGAGCCCTTTATGATCTGATTAATTGATGCATTTATTGGTGAACCTATGCCCTAGGTCTTTTATTCCTTGAATTTCTTCCTACTTTTATTCCTTCCCACTTTTACTCCTAGTAGTTTAGTTCCACTTTTTAATAACAAATTGGTTACTTAATAATTTAGGTTGCTTTAATTAATTAGGAATAGAAAGACCAGTTTCCCTGTGGATTCGACCCTACTTCCCTATCTGCATTAGTTACAGGATTTAGGAATTACTTTTGATTGGGTGATACGACTTTAGCTTGTCAGTGACTTTGCAAGGGGGATTGAAAAATGAGAATGTTCTTTTTGTACCTCATCAATTAAATTGCAATTTAATTTCTACGACACAATTATGTGATGAATCTAACTGCACTCTACAATTTACCAACAAAATTTGTGTTATACAGGACCTAACGACGAGGAAGGTGATTGGAGCGGGTGAACGAGTGGATGGACTATATTATTTCCGAGGTGTTCCAAGAGTGAAGGCTTTGAAGATGGACAGTGATCGTTCGACGGAGTTGTGGCATCAACGATTGGGGCACCCTTCAGAAAAAATTCTACAATCCCTTCCATTTGTAAGTATTTCTAGTAGGAGTCTTAAAAATAAATCATGTGATGTATGCCCTCGGGCAAAACAACATAGGTGTAGTTTTCCTAATAGCAAAAATAGAGCTAGTCGTATGTTTGAACTTGTTCATGTTGATTTATGGGGACCTTACAAGGTTGCTTTGACTTGTGGTTCTCATTATTTCTTGATTATAGTAGATGATTTTTCCAGAGGAGTATGGACGTATTTATTGCGTAATAAAGCTGAGGTTGAATTGATGTTTCTTAACTTTGTTGCTTTGGTTAAATGTCAATTTGAGCATGAGATTAAACTTGTTCGTAGTGATAATGGCACATAATTTAATTCCTTGCGTGACTATTTTTTTTGCTAATGGGATTATATTTGAGACTTCTTGTGTGGGGACTCCTCAACAAAATGGTCGTGTTGAGCGTAAGCATCAACATATTCTTAATGTGGCATGTGCTTTGAGATTTCAAGCAAATTTACCTCTTCAGTTTTGGGGGGAGTGTATGCAAGCGGCTTGTCATTTGATAAATCGTACACCATCACTCCGTATGAGATTTTGTTTGATAAGAGACCTTCATATGAATATAATAAGGTGTTTGGGTGCTTGTGCTACGCTCACAATTAACGTAGCAAAGGAGACAAGTTTGCTAGTAGAAGCTGAAAATGTGTGTTCTTGGGTTATCCCTTTGGGAAAAATGGATGGATGTTGTATGACTTGGAGACAAAGGAAAGATTTATTTCGCGTGATGTGAAATTTTTTGAGGAGGAATTCCCTTTTCAAACTCTACCAGTTGATGGAAACAGGGTTGTTAGATGCAAAACCTGCAGATTTTCCCATGGAGCAAAACCATAGGCTATCTTTGGCAGATGGGGATTTATTTGATGATGTAGAGAGGTATAGACGTCTTATAGGACGTTTGATTTATTTAGCTGTCACTAGGCTAGACTTGGCCTATTCTGTGCATATTTTATCTCAATTTATGCAGAGCCCGAGGGTAGAGCACTGGGATGATGCCTTGCGAGTTGTGCGATATCTGAAGAAGAGTCCAAGTCAGGGTATCCTGCTAAGGTCTAATAGTGCTCTACAGTTGGAAGGATGGTGTGATTTGAATTGGGCGAGTTGTCCATTATCTCGACGTTCGTTGACATGTTGGTTTGTGTTTCTTGATCTATCTCCCATGTCATGGAAGACCAAGAAACAACCCACAATAGCTATGAGCTCCGCCAAGGCAGAGTACAGATCTATGTACGCTTGCACTCGTGAGTTGAAGTGGCTAAAGAGGATTATGAGAGATTTAGGTGTGCGACATAAGAGTGGAATGCACCTCTATTGTGACAGTCAGTCAACATTATACATTGCGTAGAATCCAGTGTTTCATGAGCGGACGAATTATATTGAAGATGATTGTCATTTTGTAAGAGATGCTATTACAGAAGGTCTCATAAAACCGTCATATGTGCCTACGACGCTCCACTTGACTGACATTTTCACAAAGGATTTTAGGAAAAGTCAAGTTTGATTTTTTAATCCGCAAGTTGGCATCTATGAGCTGTATGCTCCAACTTGAGGGGGAGGGGGGGTATTGGAGATATTCTAGGATATTATTGTGATATATTTAGGTAGCATATCTTATGAAAAGATATGATAGAATATTGTGGAAAGTTTAGGTTGTTATCCTAGCTTATATACACTATATTGTGACCTTGAGGTGAATGAGAATTACGGTGAATATATTTGATGAATTGTGATCAATTTAACACATCCACTTTACACTTTGTGTGGATTCAGAGAAATGGAGCCGATTTGATTCATTATCAAATTAGGCTCACTATTTTAGGGAGAAAAGGTCCAATTTCATAGTTCTATCCTACCAGTAACGACAAATTTTATACAATTATAAAATTAGGGTGGAAAAATCACATAATTAGCCTTAGTAATTATAACTAGTCTTTTATACGGAGTAGTTTGCTTACATACATAACCAAAACTTGGTTCGTGCAGTCGGGTGTAGTCGGATGCACGATCCGCATGGTGTATCCGCTCCAAAATACAAAAAGGCGGAATGTAAATGCAGGTATATACTAATGTACATGGGCATATAAAAGAACATTATGTTCATTTATAATGTACATGGACATATATGTTTCAAAAAAAAAAAATGTACAAGGGCATATACATAAAAGAACATAGTGTTCATTTATAATGTACATGAGTTTTTTATGCAACAATTTTGTATATATATTTTTTTTATGAAAGAAATTTTGTATAAGGAAATAGATAGTACTATATTTTTTTTTACCATACATTAATTACAAATCATTTCAATTTTTTTTTTTTAAACCAAAAGTTCACTTTCTCTCTCCAAACAAAAACTTCAAACCCACTTAAATTCCTCAAACCTCAAGCAAACTTTCAATAAATTCGAAATTTTGAGTCCAAAATTGTTCAAAATGACATATAAAAACGAAAGATAAGACCGAATTCGACATTCATACTTGTTTATTTGACATTCATACTTGTTTATTTGAGTTTGAGTGTTTGTTTTTTATGAATTTGATTGAAAATTGTAATATTTGATTTTATTGGGCATTAAATTGTGATTTTGATGTAATTTTGTTGTTGCAATCAGAAATAAAATGAAGTTCTTGAAGAAGAACTACTAATTAATACATTTTAGAAGAAGAAAAGCAAGTAAATAGACAAATTTAGAAAAAGTTGTAGATCCAAATAATACAATGTACGCACATTAAAATACAATAAAATGTTCTTTTTCCATATATTTACATGATCCAAATAATACAATGTACATTAAACATGTTACCAACCTTATAACATATATGTTCATAAGAATATAATGCAATATATATTATAATACAGTAAAATGTACTTTTTCATATACATATATGATCATTTATACCAAATGTACATTTTCTATTTGAATAAATGTTCCTTAATATTATCATGTTCTTTACTAATATTACAAATATTCTTTAGATTTACAAAACAAACATATAAAATTGGATGTTCTTTATAAAATAGCTATTATTTTTTTACAAAACAACTATATGTCTTAACTGAACAATTAAATGTTCATTTCGCCTTTTTTTTAAAGAAAACCGATGCATCCGCCTCCACAAAAAAATTTCAATACACAACACTATAACAGAGATAACTAAGAAGCTGATATACTACTTCCGTTTCATATTATTTGCAACGATATGATTAAACATTTTTCCTTTTTAATTTATATCAAATAATTACAAATAATATGAAATAGAGATAGTAGATTAAAAAAAAATGATAAATAGCTGATGTATGACACGATTCAATCACATCATCCTTGATAAATTGAATTGATTAATTAATCACCACTTCAAAAGGATCAAGGAGTACAACAAATTTTGTCAACTGACATATTAAACCAAAATCAAGAAAAACCACACTACAGTAAATAATAACCCACACATCATTTCAGCAATCATTATATCATAGAAATATACAAATATCATAGACGTAGTAGAATTGTTAAGATAAGATTAGGAAATATTGTATAATATCTTTAGATTTCCTAGTTATGTTAATATTTTATCTTATTCCTAATTATGTTAGGGTTAGGAATATCTTGTGTAACTATATATATTCTTGAGATGTTAATGAGAAGGCTAAGAATTACACATTAATTTGACATGGTATCAAGAGCTTAGGTTTAGGGTTCCAAAAGAAAAAAAAACAAAAACAAATCACAAAATTTTTTTTCAACGCTTGAGATTATCAGCGTGAGATTTGTGTGTTAATCATGACAAAAGACAGTGATGATTCACCTCCACCACAAATTGACCTTGAGTATCACCTTGGATCAAGTGATCACCCTGGGATCGTGATAACTCCGATCAAGCTAAAGGGGGCAGTGAACTATGACGAATGGGCAAAGGCAATTCGAAGGTCTCTAATTGCAAAGTGGAAATTTGGGTTTATTGATGGTTCGATTATGGAACCTTTGACAGATCCTAAGAAGAAAAAGTATTGGGTTGCGGTGCACTCGATGTTAGTTTCGTGGATCACCAACACTCTTGATCTGAGGACAATCTGCGTTCAACCATAGAGGATTTTGATATTGCAAGCGAGCTATGGATACACTTGAAGCAGAGATATTGTGTTGTGAGTGGCACGAGAATTTGTCACCTTAAGCAATCGCTTGGGGCGTGTAAACAAGAGGTACAAGAGACTGTGACAGATTATTTTGGTCGATTGTCCAAAATTTGGAAGGAATTGGTGCAGCATTGTAGGGTGCCGAAGTGTTCTTGCAGGAAATGTACGTGTCACATTTCCCAACAAGTTGGTGATATTCGCAAGGAAGATTATCTTCACTATTTCTTGATTGGCCTTGATGATCCTTATGAAGCAATTAGAGCACAACTCTTGGCTCAAATACCTTTTCCAACGGTGGATAATGCATACCAAACGGTAATTAATACCGAGAGGTTGCGTGTGAAAGATGGAAAGAAGGAGAATGTTGTGGCCTTTAAAGTTTATACGAGGTCGACGCAAACTTATGGTGAAAGTGAGAAATTGACCTGTGATCATTGTGGTAAGGATGATCATGTGAAAGAAAAATGTTATGAATTGATTGGTTATCCTGATTGGTGGGATGATAGGAGACGAGGAGGAAGAGGACAAGGAAAAGGTGGTCGTGGAGGTCGCGGAGGCCGATGTGGACGTGGAGGCAGCACAGGTAACAATAGTAATGTGCGTGCCAATGCTGTGCAAGGTGGGGTGGCTAGTGCAACTACCTCTCATTCGAATCAGCAGTCTACACAAGGTCTAGCAGGGGTCTCTTCCGAACAAGCTCAACAAATCCTTGATTTTTTAAAATCAAGATCGAAACTTGAAGGTAAAACTTGTATGCCGTGGATTGTAGACACAGGAGCTTCAAATCACGTTACAAATGATTTGTCAATCATGGAAAATATCAAGACAATTCAAAATTGTCCGGTTGGGTTACCGGATGGTCAAACTGTAAATGCGATTCAACTTGGTTCGGTCACATTGGAGGGTGGTTTGAAAATTGATAATGTGTTATTTGTTCCCCAATTGAATTGTAATTTAATTTCTGTAACACAATTGAGTGATGAACTGAGTTGCTCAATTCAATTTACTAACAAAATTTGTGTTATTCAGGACCAGTTGAAGAGGACGGTGATTGGCGTGGGTGAACGTCAAGATGGACTTTATTTTTTCCGTGGTGTTCCGCGAATCAGAGTGCTAACAGTGGATTGTGTGGTCGACTTGTGGCATCAACGTATGAGGCATCCGTCGGAGAAGATATTAAAGTTGCTTCCTCAGGTGAGTAACTCTAGTAGAAAAAGTAATAATGTTTGTGATGTATGTCCTCGTGCAAAGCAAACAAGAGATAGTTTTCCCATTAGTAATAGCAAAGCAAGTAGTATGTTTGAGTTAGTTCATATTGATCTATGGGGACCGTATAAGACGGTCTCGAGTTGTGGATCAAAGATGTTTTTGACAATTGTGGATGATTATTCTCGTAGTGTTTGGATTTATTTTGTTAGCAATAAAACAGAAGTTGAATTGATGTTCCTTAATTTTGTTGCTTTGATAGAGATATAAAATTTGTTCGTAGTGATAATGGAACCGAGTTTAATCATTTACAAGATTATTTTATGAAGAATGGGATAATTTTTGAGTCTTCTTGTGTTGGTACTCCTCAACAAAATGGGAGAGTAGAAAGGAAACATCAACATATTTTGAATGTGGCTCGAGCTTTGCGATTCCAAGGAAAATTACCTATAAAATTTTGGGGGGAGTGTGTTCGAACTGCTTGTTATTTAATAAATCGTACTCCAAGTCCGATACTTCAAAATAAAACCCCATATGAGATGTTGTTTGGTAAAATGCCATTATATGAGTGTATTCGAGTGTTTGGGTGCTTGGCATATGCTCATAATCAACGGAGTAAGAGAGATAAATTTGAATCACGAAGTCGAAAATGTGTGTTTGTAGGTTATCCTATTGGAAAGAAAGGTTGGAGATTATTTGACTTGGAGACACGGGAATTTTTTGTATCGCATGATGTTAAATTCCATGAGCATGGTTTCCCGTATGTTGGTGATGTGAGGGAAAAAATAGCAGTTGAGGATAATGAAATTGGTGGATGTGATGAGGAAATCGACATGTGGCAAAGGGGTGATTTTTTTGGTGTATATAGTGGGAATACTGAGGACATGGGCGTGGGATCAACACCCATCGTCCATCCAGCGCCCACTGGCAGAGAAGAGCACTAGCTACCCATACAATCTACTGGGCCCGCTGGGTTTCCAGCGCCTGCTGGGCAGGACGACCACCAGC